ATCTATATCTATCTATCTATCTATCTATATATATATATATATATATATAAGATATTGTCCATACAAGCATAAATTATATTTGACAAATATATTCTTCTAAATTGTAATAATATTTTATTAAATAATTTTTCATGTATATTTGATCCAAAAAAATAAAAATTATGCATTGGTGAGCATAATATACTTTTTTTTAAAACATTTAAAAAAAACAATGTTTCCAACCTTTTGACTGGTAATTTTGGGATTTGCTAAAGACTACATTTAACAGTGTTATTCAATTATTAGTATTTTTCCTGATTAACTTTAAGTTAGCATAAAAATAAGAGAAATGGCATGTAAAAATTATGCATTGGTGAGCATAATATACTTTTTTTAAAAACATTTAAAAAAACAATGTTTCCAACCTTTTGACTGGTAATTTTGGGATTTGCTAAAGACTACATTTAACAGTGTTATTCAATTATTAGTATTTTTCCTGATTAACTTTAAGTTAGCATAAAAATAAGAGAAATGGCATATACAATTAAATATCCAACATGGACCAATATAAATAAATGTAACAAAAATTTCTAATATATATAGTGTATACCTAGTGTATTAACTGTGTCTGATACGCAAGTTACTAAATACTATTTGTCATTAAAATATTAACAGTTCATTTAATTGTTGTATAAGTTTACCATGAAACACTATCTTAATCAAACCTAATGGCAAATAGTTACTCAAACTGGCAGCATTGGCATGTGGGTGGGAGTTAGTCAAACTCCTCTAAAGATGCTAATGTGCTCTGCCACCTCTGGACACCAACGCTGCATTTCCCCTGTAACTGAAAAGAGACACCAAGTTATCTGTGATTGCAGGCCAAACACAGGAGCAGCCACTGAATAACGGATAGCCCTTTTTTCTCAGGTTATCTAATTATCGGCTCGATAACCAGACTGACCTCTCACATTTAAGGAGAGAGGAGCTGCCACCTAGACAGAGATGTCTAATAAGTCACAGCAGAGGTGGGCGGCACAAGAGAGAGAGGCTGCTTTTGTAATTGCTCTTCTTATCCTTCATGAAGTAATGAAACTTAACATGCCAAAGAGCTTCCTTTTTTAGCCAGTGGTGATTGTGTGGAACAGGTGGGGTCGGGTTACAAAGGTGGGCGGAAATGAACTGTCGTGCTCGCCGTTTCCCCCTCCTAGCAGTCAGTTAAGAAACATGCTCGCCTTTGCTTAAGGTAAAGATAAACAAACCCTCCGGCAACACTGAAATACAGCCAGCTAAACTTATTCATGTCAGCGGGCATGTTTTTAAATTGCATTTGCAGTGTGTGCTTGCTCATTTACATTCAGAAGAGACCCTGAAGCTTTAAAGAGGCACAAAGGAAAGAGCAGGAACATTTATGCTGTGTTTGTGTCTAAATAATGAACCTTCAACTACTATTCACACTAAATGGGTTTGCATTATTTTGAACATGTTTACACTACTTGCAGAAAAAATTCAAATGTCTGGCCTATATTATAATATTTTTAGAATATATAATATTTTTTAATAAATATTAAAGTGGTAAGCTGATAATTATATGAATTGTATAAAAAATTAAAATAAAAAATAAATTAACTTTAGTGTGCAGTAGATTATGGAAAGGTAACCTAAATATTAAAATAGGGCAAATAAGCATGAAAAATTAAATATCCACTACTGGCTTGTATATCTATAACATCGACTGATATGAAAATTAAAACTTAAAAAAATTAAAAACCTCTAATATAGTCAAATAACTATGGAAGCTTGTTTCCACCGTGTGACTAAAAAATTTAAAAAAAGGTAATTGCGACTTCTTGTCTCACAATTCTATTTTTTTTTTATCTCACAGTTATAAACACATAATTGCGAGTTTAATATACTTTTTTCTCAGAACTGAGTAATTCTGAGTTTTTATCATATTCTGAAAAAAAAGTCAGGATTGTGTGAAAAAAGTCAGAATTGTGAGATATAAAGATGCAATTCCCTTTTTTATTTTTATCCCAAGTCAATAAAAAGCTTCCATAGATAACACATTATATTTTGTGCATCCATATTATAAAGCTATATGAACAAAAGGTACATTTGCGATTGGAGTGCTATACACAGTTTTGTGTCCTCGCTGTTGCAATATTGTTTATTTTAGTAAGGCTGGAACACTGCATTGGCCATCAACCTTCACCAGCTACAGGAAATTCCCACTTAGCAGTTCACACAATTGTGGGTCAAGTCGAGCAATCAAACCCACCCACTTTCATTTCTATTTAATTAGCAGCTACCACAATGCTGCGTATCGTCTGTAAAGCAAAACATAAATACATGAATAATGAATAACACACCTGAAGTTTCCATCATTTTAAAACAAAAAAAAATCAACGTGACCAAATTTTTTAAGTTTACAATAATAGTGCTTACGTAAACCCTGCCCTGCACGATTTCCTGTAAATTTCCTCACAGATTTGTTTAATGCAAACCAGTTTGCCAGCACTTGCTCCTTTTTAGTCACTTCCTCTGAACATGACCTGCAGATCATCATCTTGTGTTTTAGACATAAAATATCTGTTGCTTCCATTGGTTTCTGCATCTTAAGCTCATCTTGATTGACACGAGACAAGCGATTGCTCTTTTCCTCAGCGTCAGCTCACCAATGGCAAAGCTGACGTTTGTCGTGTCAGAGGACCGGGCCGCTGAGACGAATCTCGGCTGTGGCAGCGGAGAGTGTCACACATCAGGAGCTCATACTGCTGCCGACTAGAGCTGAGAGACTTCATTAACACTGGCACACAACACAACTTCTTCATGACAGCATACGAGATCCAACCAAGTGTGCCACACAAGTCCTGAAAAGTGAAGCCCCCAGGTGGATGGACCCAGTATAGGTCATAAACCCCACCCTCTTTATGTAATCAAATGGGACGAGAGACAAACTAAAGAATGGAATTACACTTCAAATACATTTTTAAAATACGTTTGGTTTTAGTTAGTCATTTGATGCAATACAAATGGGAGTGTGACGTCATGATTGGCAGCTGACAGTATTATATTAATTTTAATATTAATACTCTGCAGGAGTGTGGGCAGGACCTTGATTACGCGGCTCCACTTCGCTCACTACTGCGCAGACTCTGGTCTCTAATCAGCGCAAGATGTCGGAGCCATATTGGGACACTGGCGGCTTCACTTTTTTTATATTGGAAGAGAGTGAAGGTGCGTCGTCCATCTTTATTTACAGTCTATGGATCCAACCAAACACGAACGCACTCTTTTCTAACAGGTTAACTCCACTAAAACACAAGGGAACAGTTCTTATGCAGCAATTTTTAGATATAAAAAAACCTTAAGCATTTAGAGTTGCTCATTTTTTTTGCAATTTTCCTTTCATATGCAGTCTAATCCATCTGCCCTACGGCACATGGCTTCTCACTTAGGTGAGCCACTAAAAATGATAATACAAATTCAGTTTGACTAAAACCTAATATGGAAATCAGAGAATGAATAGGAAATATTTTCTCCCTATGAAACTCAAATATACCTTTTCAAAGCCTTGGCCCAGCGATTACTGGTTGTTGAGCTGTGATGCTCATGTGGATGATGATGACGGTTTTGAATCTGACATGCAAACATGGCCCGATTCCCAATTACTTCCTTTTACTCTCTATTGTGCATGTCCAATAAGGCAAAAAATAATGGAAAAAAGTCGTACCTCAGTGGCAAACTGCTGCAGTCCCCCGATGTTGATGGGTCCTTCCTCAGACGCATACAAGTTACACCCCCCGACACACAAGTCTGAGGTGGGACACACCATCCCACATGTCAAACCCAGTGGGTTGTCTGAGAGAATGGTCCGAGCCGCTCCATAATAATTCTGTGAACATCAGCACAAAAATGTCTTACGCAACCTAGCAAGCTACACATCTAGATCTAGCATTTTTAGTAATCGCAAACAGACAGTGATTGTAAAAATTTGGCAGCAATATGATGTTGCCATTTAAGATACCGTACTTTGGCCAAATTCCATTTGTATTTGCATATCCATACATATTTGTACATGCAAAAAATATGACAAAAAATATATGTATATTTTACTCAATACTATAGTATATACAGTATCTCACAGAAGTGAGTACACCCCTCACATTTTTGTAAATAATTTATTATATCTTTTCAAAATTGTTAAATCTAATTAAAAATAGAATATTTCATCCCATATGTGCACATCATGTATTTATTTTAATTTGTTTGTGCTTATTAGGAAAGTGTCATTTGCTTAGCAACATACTAAAGCACAGCTAAAGCAGTCTATTTTAAGTTCGGCAGATAGTAACTGTCTACATAGAGCACTTCAAATCAGTAAGTACTACTACCATTCAAAAATTTGGTGTCAGTAAGATTTTTTACTGTTTTTTGAAAAATGTTTCTTAAGCTCACCTAGGCTGCATTAATCAAAAATACAGCAAAAACTGTAATATTATGAAATATCATTACAATTTAAACTGTTTAAACTGTTTTCTATTTGAATATATTTTAAAATGTATTAAAATGTATTCCTGTGATGCAAAGCTGAATTTTCAGCCGCCATTACTCCAGTCTTCACTGTCACATGATGAAACTGTCCGTTTTTTAAGTTTTGCTGCTTAATGTTTTTGTGGTATCTATGTTACATTTTTTTCAGGATTATTTGAAATTAATTTAGTGTAACATTATATATGTCTTTCCTGTCACTTTCGAGGAAAAACAAAAAAAACATGCGTACTGGCTGAATAAATGATTTTAAAAAGGCAACATGCAGCATCTTTCAATAGCAGTTTTCAGCTATCAATGCCATTGTATACAGCATACATATAGTGAGTAGTATCTAGCTGGTCAAGTAATCACAACAATATCTGCCCACCCGACCCATTCCATCTAAAATAAAACGGCTTTTATTAGGCTTAAGTCATTTTTTTTTTTAAAGTACTATTTATTTCTATTAGTGCATGTAATAAATAATAAAAAATGCACCTTTAAAACATATAGTCATATAAGCATCCAATAGTGGCAAACTTTGCAATTAGGGATGTAACGATTAACCGCGAGCCAGTTGAAAATCGATTCAAATATGTGATGATTCAAATCGGTTGAGATGCTAAACAAATCGCGATTCATTTAGGGGTAGGAGTTTATATGAAAGTATGTCTGAAGGGAACTTACTGTCTTTAGAAAAGTTTAGATGGTATTTTTTCTTTTTATCTTGCCTCTGTATATAATACATATTAAAGTTCATAAGTGCAGAGTTGCTTTGTTTACAGCGGAAACCAAGGAAACGCTTTAAGCGCCACCTGCTGGCAGAGAGTGAATCTGCTTCTCATTCAGTTCTGCTGATTCTGTTTCATGCAGATATTTTTGTATGCATAGTTTCACAAAACTGAAGTCAAACCATTCTGTTTTTGCTTCAAATTTCGAAATTATACATTCTAATTTAGATTTAAAAACTGCTCATGTTGCATGTATGCAGCATCTTTGTTTGGATCATGATTAAAATGCAGTGGTTGCCTCTAATTTTAAAAGGAAAGAGCACAGACAAAGACTTATTTTGTTTATATGAAGAGATTTCTTTTATTTGTGTTACTTATTTATTTGATTTGGGGCTTGTTTTAAATTTAGTTTAATTTCAATTTAGGTTTGTTATTTACATTTACATTATATTTAAATTTAGTCATTTAGCAGACACTTGTATCCAAAACGACTTACAAATGAGGACAACAGAAGCAATCAAAACAAAAGAGCAATAATATGCAAGTGCTATATTAGTATATTATTATGGTGTTATATTTCAATTTCACAAAGAAACGTGCAGCATTTTGTCCAAGCAAAAATAAAAGGACACATTTAATTTATAATTTGTCTTAAATCTCATTTTGTTAAAAAACAATCGTGAATCGAATCGAATCGTGACATCAAAATCGTGATTCGAATTGAATCGTGAGTTGAGTGAATCGTTACATCCGTATTTGCAATAGTACCACATAGGCTTGCCGCGATAGACGGTGCTGACGGTGATACCGGTGTTAAGCCGCAACAGCCGGTTAAGCCGGTTACATCACTTTCCCACCGGGGCACCGACCCCCACCGTCGTTTAGATTTTTTATAGTAATAAAAATCATTTAGTTCAGTAAAAGAATAGACACTATAATTAAAAACTGAACGCGGCTGATCAATGCAGCGTGCCGAACATCAGTCGCATCACACATATCAGATTGCGCAAGGCGCTTTTAAGCTATTTAAAAGCGAAGGAAAGCGAGGAAAAGAGGGAACGCCCCGCCCCCGCGGTGATACCGGTATTACCGGTGTTGTCACACCTCGATTAACCGGTGGGAAAATTTCCTCACCATCACAACCCTAGTACCACAGTGCTCTCTTGTTTCTCTTGTCTAACAGGCCTATTCTGACAATAATCACCCCCTGACTGACATGTGTCTAGTTTTGAAAAAAGCAGTCGACATCTCTCTTCCTCAGACAGCCTTGAATTAAGGCCAGAATGCCTCAATGGCACTCGCTAAACTCACAGAATGCACGGTATGAAGGAAACCTTGACAGAACAACAGTGCAGCATAGAAAACAGTGTTCTCAGCGACACACATTAAAGCCATTCTGCATGGGCTTTATTCAAATGGTGATTGTATAAGTCAGTTTTTTGCTTCAAATGAATGACTGATATTCAAATACACAGTTGCAATGCATCCATAAGCACCGCTGTAGTACAGCTTTAAAACGCTCACTCAAAAGTCAAACAAATGAGCACAAAAACTAATTATTCCCCGCGAATAATTCACGGCATTCAACAGCAGATCTCTTATTAAAAGCATAACTCAAAGTTCACCACCGTGGTCCAGCCACGTTCTGCATCAGCTATGGATGTCACAATTACGTTTGTTACAACAGCAAAGTATGTCATCCTGATGAAGAGCTCAGGTCTGACATCTCGTGTGATGTTGGTTTGGGTTTTAGTAGATGGAGACCAGCTGGGACTGCCAATTCAAACATTTTTGTGTTTCTTAAAGGGGTGGTTCATTGCGATTTCACTTTTTTAACGTTAGTTAGTGTGTAATGTTGCTGTTTGAGCATAAACAATATCTGCAAAGTTACGAAGCTGAACGGTCAATGCAAACGAAGATATCGTCTTTTAAAATTCTGGCAGTTTAATGCCTACAAAAACGGCTGGTAGGGACTACAAGTTACTTCCCGGGTTAGTGACATGACAAACCCAGATAACCCCGCCCTCGGGAAAAGGCAACGAAGGGGGCGAGGCCATGCTGCGCTGCTTTAGAGAAGAGGAAGAGAAAACTAGAGGTGCACGTAAAAATCTATTCATATATGAATCGCGATTCTGTCTTCTAACGATTCTAATGGATTCACAAGTTTCAAAATCAATGTTCTAAAGCAGCGGTTCTTAATACTGTTCCTCGCGTCCCCCTGCTCTGCACACGCTCTACATCTCTCTCTCTCTCTCATTCAGCTCAGCTCCAACAATGAACTGTTCCGATTATGCACTTATTTTCACATAGCTATGAGAAGCGTTAAACATGGACGCGCGGTGCAGTTGCCGTACTGTACTAAAGCTTTAATCGGGATAAAACCGTATATTAAAAGCTAACATAAAGCAGTAGCATTTACAAATACCAGCGTATCTAAAAGTATGAGACAACAACAAACAAAAAACATAGGCCTACCATTAAAAGCCGTGCTTGCACAGGTTCTGCACGATCCTCTTCAAAAATATCCTCTGCTTCTCAATCGGGCTCAAACTGATAAGCGATATTAACGATGCAGTTGTTTACAATACAACCGGAGCACATGCCGCTGAGGTGAGAGGCGGGACGTTTAGATGTGCACTAGAGGCCGTTTAGCCAATCACAACACACTAGGCTAGCTAACCAATCAGAGCTCATCGCCTATTTCTGAGGGAGGGGCTTCATAAAAGAAGGAAATGATCAGCGTGTTTTTCAGAGAAGGTATGGAATAAAGGTAAATTATGTGAAAAATAATGTTTTTTTTAAAAAACGAAGCATTAACACATGTTAGACTGCACCCCATAAACAATCAAGCCTAGAAAAAAAACAGTGAACCACCCCTTTAAGCTGAGTCAACATGAGACGCAAGCCATTTTATTTCTGTAAAGTGATGTATTTCCGAGATGTAATGTAATCCACCGGGAACACAATGTAATCCGCGCTATGTAATCCATTTGGAACTGACTGGATCATGAAAAGTGGGTGTGAGTTTGTGGTGGATTGTGGAGAAATGCTGCCATTTGCAAAGACGTGAAGGCTGATGGTAATTTTATCCTTGAGAGCATCTTGAAAAACCCCAACTTCTTTTTCACACCAATCTTATTACTGTAAAACCAATGAATGTTAATTATTTACAAGTTTTTAGAAATGCTTTTACTACAACTCGCTCCCATTCACAACTCGTGTTCAGATTGACCAGTTCGGGTGTTAAATCTGGATTCTGAAGCAAAGTAAGTTTAGAAGCGCTGTTGTATGGAGCAAAGTATGAAAATACACACATGTAAATGCAGAAAAAAATGGGATTGAGATTCTTAATCTAATTAAACTACATGATGAATTTTAGATAAAGCAAGATATGCATATGTAAGACGTGACTTATGTAGCGGCATTTGAAATCCCTGGAGTCTGTTTGGAAAAAATCTAATCAACCCAAGAGCCCACTACAGATGAAAAGAAAAAAAAAAGCACAGCAAGAAAAATATGACATTTCATATTCATACAATATGAAATGTAAACATTAATACCATAATAAAAATGCCTTCCTCTACAGAAATATATTTGATATGAAAGTTACATATCTTATATTAGGAACCTGTTGTACAACTATATATATATGAAGAGTTTGGTTCCAAAATGCGATAAACGCCATTTTAACTGGTCGGTATTGAAAAGTCAATTTTTCATTTTACGCAAAATGCGATATCCGCTGAATTATTCTGTCATGTTTTCTCCCTTTTTTTCCAAACCGCGACAAACGCCAGTCTCCCTTCTCTGCAGAATGCGATAAATCCGCTCAACCAATCACAGCGCACCATTCCACGCACTCTAGACAGTAATGGCGGCGCTTTGAATACACCCGGCATCCTAGTTTTCCTCATCTACTTTGTACTTTGGGATCAACAAACAAACTTAGGGCTGCACGATAAATCGCATCTCGTCAGTAAAGCCGGTTCTGTGATTAATACGTGCTTCATCACGTGCTTTCAGATGGAGCGGCATTTATACACAGAGCCATAGATCACTGCAATATCGTGTTCATAATCGCACCATAATAAAAATGCCTTCCTCTACAGAAATATATTTGATATGAAAGTTACATATCTTATATTAGGAACCTGTTGTACAACGTAAGGGGAAATATATGAAATGTGATGAGTTAGATAATAGTTCTTTCTGTTTGTTTTGCTGTTTATTATTGGGCTGATGTGTCCCTGATTTGTTGGCTTGCTATATCTGACTTTTTTATGCTAAAAGAAATTATGATACCTAGAAATAGACACCCATGTCTGTCTAGTCCATGTCTGTTAGCTTTGAGGCCATCTATATGTGAGTGTATTACAAAACATTATAGCTTTTAGTGAATACATATGCATTTCAAATACTCTTTCTCTTCCTGGAAAATGGACCAAAAATACAGATGACTCATCCTGCATGCACAGGGGTATAATAAGAATTTCTGTCCAATAAAATGCTCTTGAAAATGGCAATGTCCCCTCTTCCTAATGTGACCTGCAACTGACTAGCAATAGAAAGTAGCTAAACATGTTTTGCCAGACTACAGTATGACGTAAACTAAAGGCTATTGATTAAAAATTATAAGAACAATTAATATAAAACAAAACTAAAGGATATATATATATATATATATTGTACTTTTGGAAGCTGAATGTAAGGGAAATGTCATTTTGGAATTTCTGTGGTTTAAAGTTATATTGTTGTTCATGTATGTTCATGATGAAAATGTCTTTTATTGTTGTAATTAATTTATAGCATGAACAAGATGACCCGTTGAATTCATTTTGGGAGCGATGATTGATTGAATGTATTTTTAGTCCAGTGCCTGTATATAAGATTAGTATTGACCAAGTTCAGAGGCTGTCATATGTGGATCAACTTACTATGTTGTGTATTTTCAACAGTTTCAACATGAAAAATAACTTATGAATAATAAATTTTTTTTTTTACAGATTTAAAAAAAACAACAACTGCTAAAACATTACTAAAACTTTAACTTAAATACTAATCATAAATTATTCATATTTAATATTAATTAATTAATTAATTAATATTAAAACTTTAAATATTGATAAAAAACTATAACAGTATCTCAATTATACGCCTAGTGACATCACTGTGAAGGAAAGTTGTTTCAGAGACAGAGCAAGATCTCACATTTCGATAAAACATTACAAAGTCAAAACTTTACTTCAGCTGAATTGAGCACAATAAGACCAGAGATATTTATTAAGAAAGTCAATTTGCAGATACGCTACATACCTTGTTTGCTATACTGGTAATGAAGGCCTTTATGTTCAGATTGGTCGGGCAGCTTTTCTGGCACGGTGCATCTGCACACTTCAAACATCTGTAAGAAAATAAGACTTTGCTTGAAATACCCCACATGCAATGCAAAATAAAGTTATTTACAGTAAGAACAGAGAACTTTGTGTTGTCGCCCCACTGGAACGCCACATTCCAGCCAATTACAAACACTCTACGGCACCCAGTGGAAATCAATCCCCAGCTTTTGTGCCGGAGGACTTTTCTTACAGCAGCTACATCACAAAAGGCGCCATATTGATGACACACCAGTTTTGAATGACAAATAGGATAATTTGGAGCCGCCCAATTAAATATTCATGCCCAATCAGAATGGATGTGGTACGTTTGGCCCCTGCGTGTGAATGGCGTGTGACAGGAGGCAGCCGACTGGGGCTGCTGGGAAGGAAGGGAGGGAGGGCTGCTACTGTAGCTCACAATCATTATTTTGCATTTTACAAACATGCAGCTGTTTAAAAATTCACCACGCTAATGACTTCAGATGATGTATCAGTAATTTGGAAGAGTGCTTTTTCCTTTACAATGAGCACAAAGGGGGGAGGACTTACAACTAGAACAGAGCAAACCAAAGCGGGAAAGGAGACATGGAAACAAGAGAGGAAAAAAAGACTCCCTGTCGTCTTTGATGTGAAACGCACAACTTGTGCCACATATGTGGACACAAAAAGTACAAAAAAACACATCGGTAAGAGTAGAGTAAACACTCAAGTAATACCTGCACGTTTAGATTCACACACAGCTGGATGCCCATAATAATCCCGTCTCACAATTCTCAAAGCTCGCCGCGGACTAGAGTGCACAAGGCTGCCATTAATACCACTTACCGGGGTGACAGTGGGGTAATTACTGTAGTGCAGCGGCCAGGTACTGGCAGGTACACAGTGCAACCGTCCCACTTTTATAAACCAGGGTGGCTGATCATAATGTGACATTAGCTTTGACCTGCTTTTCTTTATTTGATCATAAATTATCCTTAGCCTAAAGGATTAGGAATATTGCAGGAGTCTTGGCCCGGGGGAAGGGTCTGGAGTGGGCTTTGATGCTGAGATGAAGGCTAATCTCGGAGGATGCCGGCCTATCGCACTTCTGATCTGCGCAGAGATGATTAATACAGAGAGGGGACACCGAGCAGCTGCGGGAAGGCATAAAGCCATACTCGCATAAATATCTCTCTCCCTGGCGTTCTTCTCCGCTTATTGTGAAGAAAAAAGCACTCTTCTAAATCAGCGATATATCATCTGTTATGATCATCGCCGGGTGTATCTTACAAAATATGTATGTAGAACATGAAACAGTGCAGTGGTTCATATTCAGCTTGTACAATGAATACATTAGTGCACATCAGTGTTAATTTTGACAGCAAATTTTGATTTAGTTTTAGTCATAGTCTTTTGACTAAAATGCCATTTAGTTTTAGTCATATTTTAGTCATCTGAATTGTTTTTAGTTTTAGTCTAGTTTTAGTCGACTAAATATCGATGCAATGTACTGATACACGTTCTCCTTGCTCTTTACGTTCACTTAAGATGTAATCAACTGTGTTTAAGTGAATACTCGTCAAAACGGACAATTCAACATCATTTTGTGTGTAATTCTCCGTTCATGCGACGCGAAAGAGTACTCGCGTGCTGAGACACGCTTTCAGTGTGTGTATGCTTCAGTGTCTGCGCTCAGAAAACCGGACAGAATTGAGTTCTCTCTTGCGTCGTCAGATTTATCCATATGTCTGCTCTTCTCTTACTCCCACATATAGACATTTTTGAACATTTTATGAGACGTGCAGCAAGTGTATGTTAACTCATGTCCCGCCTGTTCATATGTACGCACAGCGTCGGCGCCACGGGGGGGCCTCCGAACCACGCAGCAGATTCGTTCTGAATGAATCTCTTCCCAAATTGTCCCTCCCTAACATTTTCGTCTCGTTTTTATTCGTTGTCGAGTCACGCCTACCTTAAACAGCTCGTTCTAACACTCCCCCACATGTCTACGTCACGATGTGGGAAGATGATCGGCTTTCACCGTGGACGATGCGGAGTGCAGCCCGGGGTCGTCACATGTGGTTGCCGTAAGCCCGCCGGCTGCTCCTTCGTCAAATCCACCGGCCGCCGCTCACTCTAGCCGCAGGCCTCCGCTCACTCAAGGCCGCCGTGTTTGTTTGTAATTTCTCCGATCACAAATGTTATGTTTACGCGGTCCGTAATTATGTCCCCACTGGATGCAACAAATGCCTCGTTTATAATGGGTTTTAATGTTTTTGTCTCGTCGCTCCGGCTGGACAGGGTATCACAATATGGTAGGGGCGTAACATTTCCGTCACACGCTTGAGGTATTCGGCCAATCACAACGCACTGGATAGCTGGCCAATCAGAGCACACCTCGCTTTTCAGACCTATGAGCTTTGTAAAAATCGACGCGTTTCAGAAAGGCGGGGCATAGAGGAGAAACAATAATGTACAGTATGTGGAAAATAATGCGTTTTTTGAACCTTAAACCGCATAAACACATTGCATTACACCAAATACACAAAATAATGTTCTTTTTAGCAACATCATATGACCCCTTTAAAGCTCATGTATAGTGAAAAATGATAAAAAATAAAATAATATAGTTCTATCTAATGTAGATACACTTTAAAGTTCAAAACAAAACATTTCAAAAAATCTGAAACAAAACAAAAAATCTGTCAGTTTTGATCATTTTAATGCATCCTGAATATAAGTATTATTTCTTTGAAGACGTTGTGAAATCAAAACTTTTTTTTTTGCGGCTTTTAATCCATGTATGACATCATCTACATTGTCTTCCACGAAAACGGACCAAAAACATTGAAAAATTCAATTTGATGTACATCTCATTAAAGTATATTATGCATATATCTGCATTTTATTCACCTTTAGCTATTCTGCTCTCACTGAAAAACCCATATTGACCACTAGTTAAGACAACACAACCAAGTCCACACGTAGAAATCAACACAGCATTCTGCAACTTGGCTTGCCTCAATGAGAAACCGTGTGAACTGCACCAGTATGCAGTGATTAGCCAATCACAACAGAGGTCATTTGCACAGAAGTCTGCAAGGTACAGCAACAAAAACCTGCTAGTTTATTTCTAATTGTCAGAGAGAGGGTGAAAAACAGCCATGCAAAACTAAACGATGTATGTTTATTGTGCAAAAAACCTTGACTAATGTTCTAAGTGGACTTCTGGGGAAAAATAAAATGCTACAAAATTCTAAGCTGACACACATGGCCCAAAAACAGCTGTTCCATGGCAGGTCGAAATGTATAAACACATTCATAAAGATGAGACCCAACAGATCAAAATGAGAATCTGTGAGAGGGGCACCTTCAGTTGATTGCGGAGCGTTTTTTTCTCTCTTTTCAAAAACAGTAGCTCGGGGGGGGCAAAATGAGAAAGAGTGAGAATAAAATAACCTATTCCCTCCTCTGACATGCCGAGGCTCCGCGCTACGGCTGTGGACAGGAATACCATTGTCTTTTTTCTCCTCCCAAGGTAACATTAAAGACACGGCACATCCAGACACATTTTAGACCCTCATCTGTCTCCCCTGGCCAGCAGCCCAAGTGCTTAGCAAATGTCAACAGAAAATAATGCACACACGAAGGCAATCTTATTTGTTCAAGAATTGCTCTAGGTCACAGCAATTCAGCTGGGCTTTGAGAGCAGCGCTCAGGAAAAGACTGGCTTGCAGTGCAGTGCATTAGATACAGTACCGGGGCTTTTCTGAGCTGTAACGCAATCAAATGTATACACAATTTTTCCTTTCTTTCCTTCCCGGTTTTTTTTATTACCCTCCCCAAAAAATAAATAAATAAATAATCCAGTGCATTCAAATGAAAGGAGCTGTTGATTAGCGGACCGCTGCAAGCTGATTTATTCTCCCCCCTGCTCTCTCTGCTTCCTACCTTATCGTTTTACTTGAGTAATAATCTAGCGTTTGAATGTTTTCTATGATGAGCGTATTATGGGGTTCTAGAATATGCAGGAAGCTAATCTCCCAATTCATTGTTTTCATTATATCTGAACCAAAATGAACCCGCAACGGGAAAAGTACAATTCAATAAAACCTAGGCATCCTAGGATTTGCCATTTTAATGATTCCTTACCTTTATAAATTAGTTGTCGCCACAAATTCAGCTCTTCACTTTTTCTTGGAGAAACTAATAATTCTGTTCATAATCTTGGGGTTGCGGCAAATTGTATCTTCTTTTTATCAAGGGGTGTTTCAGGAATACAACAAAGGACTTAAAAAAGCCCAGATGAATGCAGCACTAAAAGCATCAAGAGTAGAAAATGTATAGAAATCTAATGATTTCTATTTATAGAAATCTAATGATTAAGAAGAAGAAAGATCGAGAAAGATTAACAAAAATACTGGAGCTGTGGCATTCTGGGTAGTGCATGTGTTCATGACATTTGCTCGGCTTGTGTCATGACAACATAGGGTTGGTGTAAAATAAATAAAATAAAATAAAATAATTAATAATTTAATTTTTTTATTAAACTTATTTTATTAATTTTAAAAATAATTGTTGTTTTTGACAGACACTTGGCCTGGTGGTTAGTTGCAGAACTCATAATGTGCAAACGTGGGTTTGAATCCAATTTGCGACCTTTTACCTCTTTTTTCCCCATCCATTTCCTCTCTACTATGCTATTAAACAAAAACAGCATAGATCCCAAAAAAAAAATAAAAAATAAAAATTATTAACCCCTTCTCTATCCCCCACCACCATTGTGGCATGGGGACATAAATGACATACCCAAAATAAAAAGGTTGCTGCTCATGTGTCTTTCTGACTAGATACATAATCAACATATGTTTATAGTATATACTACAATAAAGCCAACATGGAATAAAAATGTATCATATTAATTTTTATTGTGCAAAAAGTCTGAGACAACTACAGAACTTTTCTAAATTAATTAAAAAAAATATTAAAACAAACATTATATTTTTTTATATTCATTATATTTATATTATTAATTAAATTTTTATCATAAGTTATCAGCATAACAATCCAGGTCAAAGTTAAATATGAAGTTGAACTTGTTATCCTCCATTGTTGAAATCTCCCTCCAGTGTAACCCATATCTAAGTTACTATTTAATCTGAAATACAGTAAAAAACATCGTCACAGTGAGTCAAATGATCAAATGTTGAGATCATTACCAGTCACAAACCTTCTGTTTTATTCTGAATTGTGTTTTAGTGCTTTGTTTTACATTATGTTAACTCTCATCCATGGCACAGGCTGGGCTGAACACATGCGTATGCAGTGTTGAATCTGTCTTGCCTGATAGACGCATCTGTGTCAGTCTGCTCGGGCATCTGGATGCAAGTTTAATGATGTCAGCTGTGCAGCTCGGCTGGGGACAGTTGGGAAGCGAGCGCCAGGTGAGGGGAGATTTCTCTGTGCGCTGAGGGTTAGGACAGCGGCCGTCAGAACTGTCAAAACCACCCGGCCTAGGTCTGTCTGAGATCAGGGGGATAACCAACAGCTGCAAACACAGCAGACTGAAAAATGAAGAGCCAGAGACCTGCATGGCTCTGTGCACGCGCGCGCATGTGTGTGTGTACGCACAGATCTCCACCTGAAGGATCATATGCATTTGATTGACATCGCTAAAAGCTGTCATTTCAGTAAAAGATGTAGAACATGCTCTAGAAGTGACATTCCTAATCCAGCTGTGGCTAATCTAACTATAAAAATGCCCACTCAGGTGACAAGAACACAAACCGCAAACAGTAATTTTAAGGGTGCAACCATCGGTCAGAAATGCCGTTTTCCTTTTTGAGGTATTTAAAGTTAAACGGAATCAAATGCGTGGCTATCATGGTAACATATACGGCGGGATAATTTAAGATCTGTCAAAGTGGAAAAGTAAGGTTAAATGTACATGCCTGCTGCACGCTTTCACCTCTCATCTTAATTGCTTTGACACTTGTGTTTTTTTAACCAGTTAAAGCAGACTCTCGGATGGTCCGGTGAGAGCAGGCCTTTGTTCCGATATACAGCATAGTTTGCATTTATGAAAGTCAAGCTGCAACATGCAGGTCACTATATATAGAATCCGCATATTAGAATGATTTCTAAAGGATCATGTGACACTGAAGACACTGAAAATTCAGTTTTGCATCACAAGAATAAATTACATTTTAAAAAATATTGAAAGTAGAAAACAGTTCTTTTAAATAGATTAACATTTCAGCAAATACATGCTAGCAGTGATAAAAAGCTAAGTTTTAAAAACCTACTCTAAGGATATTTTTAGTTAATTAAACATTGATCTTGCTGATTAAAAAAAGAAAGCTATACCTGAACGGAGTTGCAACTTTTTTTCTTCACTTCTTCACAAATTTCAGGTGGTAATAACCTAGATGGCTTTTAACATTACTAGAGTGTTGCGAGCAGTTGCTAGATAGTTGCATAAAGTCAAAAGAGCCTACAGCATTGTGGGATGAGTTAGTTTTCTATGCAACATTCAAATCACTTACCTTTTAGCAATAGTAACAGTAACAGTTACCTTAGCAAGTGCTGCTAAAAAGTGAATGTTATCAACACATCACTTGCTGAAGACCACAGAGATCAGCCTACAAGCTTGTCGTGAGTAATCTAACAGAATCTCACAATTAACACAGCTGCTCTGACCTGAGATCAGGTGTGGCGTGGTGGTAATGAGCAGAGGTAACGGCTGAAACGACCCAACCACTGATCAGTAAGAATTAAAGGAGAGAGCACACACATAGCTGACAGGGGGGAAAAAAGGACGTAGCACAAGCACTACGACTCGTGTGCCACTTATCTCCAAATCCTCACTTTATGAAATTATTAAAAAAAACACATGGACCTGCATTATTCAAGTGGGTGTAATCGTTCACTACCTTCATATGCCACCATTTTAAGCGCTGCATGGCATTTAATAAGAAAATGTTACAACTACTGTATATTTATCAAAATGACATTTCTAATATCAAATCTGGTAACATTCCAAAATGACGATACAATTTTGAAAAAGAATGCAGAAAAAAATATATTTCTTAAAAGTAACTTTTATATTTTCTGAGAAACAAAACTGCCACGATTTCAGAGTCTGCCTAATGACCTTGCTAAGGGAGTGTTGTGAATGGTTTCTGGACAGTATTGCTATTGTTATCAAAAACTATTAGATACAGTTTTTATTAATTAAAAAAAAAAGCTGAACTAAAATTACATATAAATTATTAGATCAAAACCCTTAACAAAAATTAGAAATGTTGCCCAACTGAAATAATATAAGTTGAAGTACTAATTTGACTAATAATAAAACTGAAATAAAAAAATCAATTAAAGCTAAATAGAAACATTTAAAGGAAAGAAATCAAATGTGACCCTGGACCACAAAAGCAGTCTCAAGTCGCTGGGGTATATTTGTAGCAATAGCCAAAAATACATTGTATGGGTCAAAATTATAGATTTTTATTTTATGCCAAAAATCATTAGAATATTAAGTAAAGATCATGTGATTTATACAGCTTTCATATGATGTATAAATCTCAATTTTGAGATTTAAGACTGGTTTTGTGGTCCAGGGTCACAAATTAGAAAAGCTGTCTAACTGAAATAAAATAAGTTGAAGTTGAAGTACAAAAATTACTTAAACTAAAGCTGAAATAAAAATGCTAAATAGAAATATTAAAAAATAATAATAAAAATGACAAAAGCATATAAGAAAATGACAATTTTAAACAAATTGAAATAACTGAAAACATAAAATAAAAGCCAATATGAAATATGAATAAGTACCATAATAGTTTATGGTTACACTTTATTTTAAGAGTAAGCTTAGTAAGGGATCTAAAATATGGTCATGCAGAATAAGGCATTACATTTGCTTTATAAGTACTAATAAACAGCCAATATGCTAGTAATATGCATGCTAATAAGCAACTAGTTAATAGTGACAATTGGTCCCTAAACTAAAGTGTTACCTAGTATATAAATAATATTAAGATAACACTGGATGTTCTTGGGTGGTTGCCAGAGTGTTGCTGGGTGGTTTACTATGAGTCCTTGGAAGCTTGTGGTCCTTTCAATATAAGTCTATTGGCCTGTTTTATCATTTGCTGAATGAAAACGGTAAGTCTGGATGGTTAGAAAATCTTTCCTCAATAAGCCTCATGATTTGAGTTATAACTCATGTCCGTAACAGTGTGCAACAAGTGACAGTTTTATGCGAAAAAACACAGTAATAGGTATGAGCAACAACAACAGCGACACTCGTTTTAGCATTAACTGAAGAAGAAAAATCACTATAAGCTATTCAGAAAAAGCAAAGGCCCTGATGTCATTTTGAAGGTGAATCTTCGGCCTTGATCCCTGCGCTTGAGGGGGTTGAATATATAAGCTCTCTCCCCTACAGTGGTGCATTGACAAAGGTCACTCAAAGTCCTCTCAAGGTCCGGACCATTTGAAATCCAATTGAAATTCATATATCTACTGGATGTGTGTGGGGATGCTTTAAGGGCAATGTTTACCCCCAGCCAAGTTCATCACGCTCTCCGGAGTTACAGAGGGGTTAACAACGCCCGGCGCGCAGCCCGATGGACAATCAGAGCAAATCAGCGTGCAGACGGATGACAGCCGTTACATCCGTGTGAGTCATAAGCTTGCATTTAGGGAACGGACGGCCATCTTTCAGTGTCGTGACAGTGTGGACGCGGCTCCGCTGACTGATCAGACACCAGAGAGACGGAGAGTGGTTTGAATAATGTGGAGCACTACGAGGAGCGAGGCAGGAGGCATGAGCGAGCATTCATTAGCCCCTTCACTAATGCTGTGACTGGACACCGTACCCCTGACCTTCACTCTGACCTCCGCAGCTGCGGACAGGCCACACAAGTTCTGCCGCCCCTCACCACCTGGAGTCGCTTTCAGGTCTGGAAATCAGTGCCTGGGGCTTGAAAAAGGATCCAAATAAAAGATCCTGCTTGCTTAGTTAACAGGTGATTGCCTACAGCGCCTTCCACTCCTTCTCACTGAGTTCACAGACACGCTCTGCAGGAAGGAGCCATCTTGACAGGAAAAGGAAATAGGTGAACAGTGAACTTCTGGGGAATAATTAGCTTAATAAAACAGACAAAATGTAGATTTACGTTTCTTTTTTTTCCAGCTCATTTTATCTTTCCCACCATCTGAAATGTAACTGGTTTATTTACAAATATCAAATGTGTGATTTTTCTTTCTTTCTTTTTTTTATTATGAATTGTCATGTGCACTACCTACAAGTTTGGAATCATTAAGATATTTTTTAAAATTAATATTTTATTCAGCAATGATGCATTAAATTAATTAAACATGACAGTAAAAACATTTACAGTATATTGTTATAAAAACATTCTATTTCAAATAAATGCTGTTCTTTTTCATCAGAGAATCCTAAAAAAGTAATAGAAAATAATAGAAAAAAAAAAAAAAAATTAAGCAGCACATCTGTTTTCAACATGTTGATAACAATAATAACTAGCCCTGGTTTCCTTACATGTTCAAGTTTTAGCAATTTCATATATTTTTATGCTGTTGCTTGCTTCTTACAGTTCATAAGATATTTTCATGAAGGATTTACAGTTGAAATCAAATTAACATATTACAATGATTTCTGAAGTATCATGTGACAATGAAGACTGGAAAAATTGCTAAATATTCATCTTTGCCTTCACAGAAATAAATTACATTTTAAAATATATTCATATAGAATACAATTATTTTAAATTGTAATACTATGTCACAATATTACTGTTTTTTTAATCAAATAAATTCAGTTTTTGAACAGTAGTGTAAATGCAGTGGCCAAAAGAGGTGTGGGAAGAACTGAACTGAAGATTAAATTCGGCCCTTAATTTTCCTCAGCAAAAGAAAATTGAGTACATCAGGTGTGCCACAGCAGAGGAACAGTTAAGCTACGTTATTTTGCTTCCTTTAGCTTGGAGAGCGTAAGAAGAGGGTCTGCCAGTTTCCCATTTCTATCAGGAGATTAATGACATGATTGCCTAAATTCATTCTCCAGCACTTGTTTTTGGGTAAAAGGTTTATAGATATTCATTCTGAAGGTCTGCGGAGTGATTTGTGCAGCGTGAAATTGGTGAAGTGTAGCTAACCTTGTTAACTTCCTCAATTAAAGGCATGTCGCAGACTTATTTCCGTGTGATTATACACTGAACGCCTTGGAACAGGCGTACTTGAGGGAAGGAACCTTTTCCATCGGCACCAATCTGCGCTCACCTCTGCCACTCCACCAGCCTACCACAGGGTCAGATATAAGCTTTTTTTTTTGCATCTAATACTCTCCCTTTTATTCTGTTTTTGTCTTGGTAATTAGCAGGTAAAATCACATTTACTTCGGCGGACTGCGGTGGGCAGCAGCGGTGCACAGCACGACATCAGATAAATCCTGTGAGACAAAACCACACTTCAATTTGATTTCACCTGCAAATATTTCATGGAAATATCTTATGAACTGTACGAAGCAAGCTTAAAAAATATCAAATTGTTAAAACGTGAACATGTAAGGAAAACCAGGGCTAGTTATCACACAGAACTGACATTTCTTCCTCAGAATAAAGAAAAAAGAGGATGTGCTAAAACCTAAGGCACATGGACATGAATGTATTCGTATTTACATTCGCATGTATAAGCACGCTTCCTTATATGCTTACTATCATAACCTTTGCCATCGATCCAGCCAATTAGCACAACCTGGCCATAATTCATAAGCCTGGCAACTAACGGACAATTTTCCATGAAGGGAATTTAATTAATTGCTATTTTGTTGCTGTTTGTGCATCCCTGATGATGTATTTATCTATGAGCCGCTTAAATATTGCTAGGAATTATGTTCATATACAGGCAGTTCACTGTAATCCTCCTCGATCTCTTCTAATGAAGTTAAGCAGATTAGGGGAGATTTTTACAACGCTTGCTGTGAGCACCGGATTCTGTCATCTCAACACACTCCTCAATAAATCTATTCTTGCACCATGGATCAGTGAGATGAAAGTGGATGAGAAATTAATTTAATACTCTTATTATTTTTTTAATATACAGGACTTTAATATAGTCACTTTAGAAGCTACTTTATATTCAAAGAAGTTCTAGGCTGTCAAGAAACGAACAATGATGAACAACCTGCTTAGCTATTTTAGTGACGATGAGGTCACTGTGCTAATTTAGAGATTCCCGTCGTTGGATGACCTAAGTAAGTGCAAATGACTAAACTAGTCACCACAAACGAAATGGGTCAACTAAACACTGCCATATGACCTAAACTGTTTGTATAAGTGCCACAAATGACTGAACTAGTCATCACAAACTAAACAGGTCAACTAAACGCTGCCATATGATCTGAAATGTTTGTACAAGTACCACAAACGACTGAAGTAGTCATTTAGATCAACTAAATGCCATTGTGTTATCTAAAGTTTTGATGGAAGTTGAATGACTAAACGGGTCATCACAAACTAAACAGGTAAACTGAATGTCCCTGTATAACCTAAAAGTCTTCATTTAAGTCCCAAATGACGTAACTAATCTTTAACCAGATTTTAACTAGTCTTCGAATTGATTGAATGTGTTATCACAAACTAAACTAGTTGACTAAATTAATCTTTAAGTACTACAAATGACAGAACTAGTTATCACAAAGTAAATATATTAAAGGGGTCATATGATGCATTTTTAAAGATCATTATTTTGTGTATTTGGTGTAAAGGCAGAATTACCTCCTCTCCTAGGTTCACGAAACGGTCGTCCTGACATGGCTGCTTCAACACTAACTGCGGTTACTGAAACCACGCCTTCTTTCTTTGAGTTTTAGCTAAGGTTTTTGTTTAAGTACCATAAATGACTAAACTAGTCTTAAGAAACTAAATGGGTGAACTAAATGCCACCATATGATTTTAAGTCTCTGTTTAAGCACTACATACAAAAATGACAGAACTAGACATCACAAACCAAAGAGGTCAACTAGACATCACTGTACTGTATGGTCTACAGTTTTCAAATTGATTGAATACGTTATCATAAACTAAACAGGCTAACTACATTAATCTTTAAGTAATACAAATGACAGAACTAGTTATAAGTAAATAAATTAACTAAATGCCACTATTTTATCTAATGTTTCTGTTTAAGTGCCATAAATGACTGAACCAGTCTTAAGAAACTAAACAGGTCAACCAATTGCCTCCATATGACTTAAAGTCTATAAGCACTACAGAACTAAACAACACAAACCAAAGAGGTCAACTAAACCTTGCTATATGGCCTACAGTCTTCAAGCTGATAAGACCTGTTATCACAAACTAAACAGGTTAACTACATTTGAAGTGGCGGAAATGACTAAACACGAACCAATCACCAGAAAATGACCTACAGTCTTCATTCAAGTGCCACAAATGACAAACGGTGTGGCTTGAGTTACAGTATGTGTCAAAGTTGAATACTTAGTAATAAGGGTTTGCACAGAAATGTGAGCAATAATACTAGTGGTGCTGGCTTAGTACTAAAAAGAAAGATATAAGCATGAACACTGCGGCTGATATCGTGCTCCAGAGAATCAAATTAAACATTGACAGGTTAGCCGAACGCAGTTTGCTCCGGGTCACCATATAGCTGATCTGGAGCCCTAAGGGACGCCTTCTCCTCGCACAAATTAATACCTTCGAGAGGCCGACTGAACAGTGCCAATTATTAAAATAAACACATTATTATTATTATGATTATTATGATGATTATTATTATTATTATTATTGATTATGATTGTTATGATTATTATGATTATTATTATTATTTAAATTATACATTACTTATTATACATTTATATATTATAAATTACATACTTTTAGTTATAAATATATATTAATAATAATAATAATAATAATAATAATAATAATGCATTTAATTTTAAGAGTACCTGTCATAAAATGCAGCTCAAAATGTTTCACATGTCAGAATAAAACATTATTGATAAAAAAATTTTTTTAACAAATTGTGAAATTTTTGTGAAGTAAACAATTGTTCAGCCCATGTTTTCCTATTTTATCTACTGATAGTCGAGTTGGAATCTGACTTCAAGCTCAAGCCATGCGTGATGGTTGGGAAAACTTACAGCAACGCGTAATGCAATTTCACATGCAAACTTGACCGTGAATATTTTTTTTATTTATCCAGTTCTCAGGTGACAGTTGGTCCCCTCTCAGAACTTGACAGCTCGCATCAATCACAACCCTTGAAGTGTTTCCACTCAGTGGAACGAATCCAGGGATTCTTCTGCATTTAAACCTCTTCTTAAAGGAGACATATTATGCCCCTTTTTACAATATGTAATATAAGTCTCTGGTGTCCCCAGAATGTGTCTGTGAAGTTTCAGCTCAAAATACTCAACA